CCTATCAAGAAAAGCGACATAAGAAAAATCATTAGAATCATCTTGAGGAGAATCACTATCACTTAAAGTAGAATTTTCAACCATAGAAACTTTCATTGCTTTTCCTTTATTCCTATCCTTTTGTTCTTTCCTAGGAGTAGGACAAACATTAGCTGCATGACCTTTGCCACCACAATTCTAGCAAGTAAATTATGTTTCTTTTTATTCTTCTACTTTCTTTTCGTTAAATCTAAACTTTGACGTTTTGTCAAAATTTTGAGGATTAGCCTTGTTGCTATTCCTTCTCCTCTGTTGCCTTTATAAAATTTGACTGAATTGCCTTGACAAGAATGCAATGTCATCATCAGAGTCATCATTCACAGAATTCTCAACCTGTGTAGATTTTAAAGCAAGATTTTTCTCTTTCTGATTTAAATCAAAATTCTGCATCTCAAAAGTTTTTAGTGAACCTACCATCTCATCAACTTGACAAGTAGTCAAATTCCAATGTTCAGAGATGGTTTCAACCCTAATCTGGAATCTTTTAGGTAAAGACCTTAAGATTTTTTCACAGATTTTTTTATCACTAACTTTTTTCCCTAAATGACGCAATTTAGAAATTATTTCAAGAAGACTAGAATAAAAATCAGAAAATGATTCATCTTCTTTCATCACGATGTTGGCAAATTTATGAGAGAGCAACTGAATTTTGGACAACTTCACTTTTGAAGTTCCTTCATGAGTAACTTGTAAAATATCCCAAGCTTCTTTAGCAGTTTTACAATCAGAAATTCTAGCATATTCAGATGGAATAACAGAATTAATAATTGAATATAAAGTTTTGCCATTAGCATCATTACGCTCAGTTTCAATAGCAGTAAAAGCAAAAGTATCTTTTAACTCTTTGACTATTTTACCATCCACAGTTGTATCTACTGTTGGAGGTGTATAGCCAGACTCAACTATTGCGCAAGTTTTACCACTAGAATTTTACAAATAGGCTCTCATCTTTGATTTCCAAAAATTGTAATTATCTCCTTCAAATAAAGAACCACGTTGATTAGAACCAGCTTCTTTTAACGCATAAGACATGATGTTGAAAACAATTTTTGAAAATAACAACAAAACTAAACTTTCCAACAAGGATCAACTCAATGTATAGAGATCTGCTCTGATACCAAATTGTGAGTTGTACGCAGCAGAATGTAAACTGGAAAATTTTAGGTTTTGTAAAACAGATCTGTGTCCTTAACTACTTTACTTATTTTATATTTTAGAAATTAAACAGTTAATCACACATGCAGATAAAATAAAGCAAAGTATAAAGTTAAAGATGACACCAGGATTTTAGCGAGGAAACCCCAGTTGATAAAATACGTTAACTGTTATGGGAAAAACTTCATGGACTTGTGCAGTCCAAAGAAAACCAATCCACTATGCTTGGAACAAAGTATACTGAACTTTGACTCTATCTCACACCCTATCGTTCTACACCACACCAACCGCTGACGATCCTCTGGCTTTGCGACTCCCCGTCCAACAGCAACTTGACCTCAGGCTTACACTTGATATTTGTAGAAGAGTAGCAAGTAGATCAGACAGCACTCCGCGAATGCTCCAACCCTTCCAAAGTGTGACTGAGTTTACTTCTGTTCTTCAATTGTCTGAATGATGTAGAAGAAGATCTGCTTTGTCTGATCGATGTTAATACAACTGTATGATCACGATCAAGATTCAAACATAACAACTCTAGACTCACTAGGTGAATATATGTGGGTTCTAGGAAGACAACAGAAAAATCAATTTTGATTTTCTGAGAGAAATAAACTTCCTAAGGCTTTAAATAATACCTGAATTATAATGTAAAAGTCGTGAATAAACCAATGTATAAGACATGGTTTATATAGATTATAGAATGACCTAATCCCTCTGAAAATAAGGTAAATTTCGTGCATAGGATTTTGTACAATTCTAGACTAATTGGGAAATTAATTAGAAAAAGGAAACTAAAGTTGTATTGCAAACAGGAGGTCTTGAACCGGTTCAAGGAAAGCTAAACCGGTTCAAGTTTGGCAGTGTGTCAAACTTGAACATCTTGAACCGGTTCAAAGAAGCTGAACCGGTTCAAGGTTGGTAGACTCGGATTTCGAATTCCTTCAGCCTTGGTTCATTTTACGGAAATTGTATACTAACATGGAAAGTGTAGAATGCCTAACCTTGTTCATATTCCTTCCTAATGTAGTGTCCTTACCCTTTTCATCACAAACTCTTCAAGTAAGGTAAGTGTGAACTCCTTCCCAGTTGTGGAATCCCTGTTGAACTTGATGACTTGTAAAACAAGTAATTTAAATTACAACTCAACTTGGACTTGTTATGTCTACGATAATTGTCAAAAAATAAATAATATCTCACAGAAACAATTTACTAATATGAATTTGATTGCTTCACAGTATTTGTTCTGTCAGCTTCAAATGGTTGCAGGGTTGGAGGACTTGAGATGCCTTTTGTTACTTCGATATGTGGTATAATACCCTCTCTTAATGAGTTAATGGACATAAATACTTTTCTTCGATCAGAAACCTGAAAAATTGCTGGTTATGGTGTGCAAGGGTTTTGTCCCTGCCCCACCTTCCTACACACAAAAAAATTAATAAATTAACAAACAAGAGGCACCACTTACCTAACTTCGTGGTGACAGAAGCATATTGGTCAATTAGAAGATGCTATTAGAGTAAGCATGAAATCAACTTGATGTAACATTCATATTTTGTTGTCTTTTCCAGTCTTATAAATAAAAAATATTGGACTTGGGCTAGGCAAAAATGGGTCCCACAACTAGTCATTCACATGTGACAACACAGGTTTTGGGAACATAGGACTACGCTGCACCGAGTATGTTGCCACAGGTAACCCCCAAAATTTTATAAGGTTTGGTGCTTTTGAGGCTGAATGTTTTATCAAATCAAGCTTCTGAAAATTTTCATGTTTCAAAGTGACTTGAGCTAGACCTACCTAATTTCATGATATGCAACGATACTATTGCCATGCTGATTGAAAGAGGACATTTATGTGAAGAGCGATGTGTATGGTTTTGGTGTGATATTGGTTGAGATGCTCACAGGTTTACGAGTACTCGACTCAAACCGTCCAAGTGGGCAACATAATTTGGTTGACTAGATTAAACCATATTTATATGACAGAAGAAAGCTAAAGAGCACAGTGGACATGCTGTTGGGAGGAAAGTATACTTCCAAAGCTGCAGTACAGATGCCATCAATGAAAGAAGTTGTGAAAAGACTGGAACGGATTGAAGCTGTCAATGAAAGGCCAAAGGAGCTTAGAATTAATACACAACGTACAGCTTATCAACACGGCCAACAGCCTTTACATCATTGTTCTCCACTTTACCCCAGTTAAAATGGAAACAAAAACTATCAACAATCACTTCGACTACTTACTGTGTACATGCAGGAGCTCTTTCCGCACGTGTATGCTGATTCTTACATTGAACAAATTATCTATTTTTTCTGTTGTTTGATCTCCTGAGAATGTTACGAATTGAGTTGTTAAACTGGTGAGTTGTGTTATCTAGATGAGAATGTCAATGATATTGACTAGTATAATTATTTTGGTTGGATTATTTAGTTCTGCTTGACAACATTTTAAACATAATTCATTATTTATTCATGAGAGGAATTCTATCAGTAGTAACAGAACTCTCACATTGTTGTTAATTTTTAAATACTCAGATTAATCAAGAATACCATGGTGGTTGTGAAGATATAAAGAAGCAGGGTCTTGTAACTCACTAACCAACTCACGCGACATTTACTCACAAAAAATATTATGGCTGATAAATAAGTTGAGCCTAACACATATAAAACCACTCACTCTTTTGGCATGTTTGCATCTTTCCTTGAGGTTTGTAAGCCACTCACCCTTTTGGCATGTTTGCATCTTTCCTTGAGGTATCTAAGATTTGTAAGCCACTCACCCTTTTGGCATGTTTCAGCTTCTTTCTTCAGGTGCTCTTGTTACACCATAAATTGTGCTGTCATTAAGATATCATATATAATGGTAATGCTCTAGCTTCATTGATTTTCATGTGAATTTCAGAGGCTTAGGCATTTCTATAGTTTCTGGTAATGCTTTTTATCCCTATTCATACTTATTTTCTATTTTTATTTATCTAATTATTTATTTTTTGTCTTCAAAAAATTTGGATTTTCAACCTCATCACTAATTAATTTCTATATACGTTCACTTCAGCTAGTGTCTATTAGTAGCCATATGAATTAATTCTCAATCCATAGGCTAACATGAAGTCCTCTTTCTAAATATATCTTTATTTTCTTCACTAAGGAAAAACTTTTATGTTACTCTTTATGTGATGCCTATTGATTAATTACATCTGTTTCAATATTGTTTGCTATGAACCCTACAAAGAAGATGATAATCATAAGATGTTTTCTGATACAGATTTCTTAAAAAAAAATTGGATTTTAGTTTTATTCTATGTGGCTTCTTGATTGTGATAACTTCTTTTTAAAGTGTTTTTTTTCCGGCTGATGCTAATTGTTGATAATTTGGCTGTTTTCTGAGAACTACTGTTCGGGGACCAGTTAGTCGTGTTATCATGCTCTTTGCCCTGATAAGTCTTATCCAATGAATTAATCACACATTCCTAGCTGACTTCTTTTTTTCTACTTGCACGTACCGTATTATTTTTTCTTAAGAAAAATGTTCTACAAACAGAGATTTCATACAAAACAGTGGCATGCATTAAATTAACAAGGAACATTGATGGTGCTTTATTCTGATATGAGAGAAAAACGGCTTAGCCACAATATTTTATATGACAAAGTCTGTACAAGAAATTATGTTTGATTGCATAAGATTACTTTGTTTCTTCATAGTTTAAAGTTTGACCTAATGTTTGATGTGCACGTGTATAGTCTGTTTGGTTCAACAATGGAAAAAAGTGTTGCTGATATCAAAATAAACCTGATTAAGGAGAAGCTTGGCGGTTTCGTGCTAAAGTGCATTTATTCTGTTTTATCTGTTGGTCCCATCCCCAATCACATTGCCTTCATCATGGATGGGAACCGTAGATATGCAAAGAAGAGGAATATGGCTGAAGGTGCAGGCCACAAAGCCGGGATGTTGGCTCTCAAGTATATGGTCGGGTACTGCTGTGAGTTGGGAGTAAAATACGTGACAATCTATGCCTTCAGCATTGAGAATTTCAAGAGACAACCTGAAGAAGTCGAGGCCCTGATGGACTTGATCCTGAAAAAGATTGAAGGGTTGATGAAGGAAGATAGTTGTGCGAACCGCTATGGGTTGAGGGTTCATTTTGCTGGAAATCTAACGCTCTTGAGTGAACGTATCAGGGAGGCATCCAAGAAGGCTATGGAGGCCACTGCGGCCAACTCCAAAGCAGTGCTCTCTATCTGTGTTGCCTATACATCTACTGATGAGATAGCAAATGCTGTTCAACAATCATGTAAAGAAAAATGTGACAAAATTGCTGGTTATGGTTCAAATGGACTTGTTGGAGGGAATGAAGAGTACTGCCATGGTCAGAACAGTATCAAAGTGGTGGACATGGAGAAGCATATGTATATGGCAATTGCACCTGATCCAGACATCTTAATCCGAACTTCAGGTGAGACCCGCCTGAGCAACTTCCTTTTATGGCAAACTGCATATTGTTATATATATTCTCCTTCTGCGCTTTGGCCAGAGATTGGGTTACGGCACCTGGTTTGGGCAATCCTGAATTTCCAAAGTACCCACTTTTATGTGGAGAAAAAGAAGAAGCAACATTAGATCCTCTTGGTGGAGAAGTAACTAGTTATGATCCTGCTTGGCCAAAGTTGGATGATTATATTGTTTCAATAGATACTTCTCCTGTTCTTGAACAAAGGTTGAACTTGTTTCATGTGTCCCCAGCATTTAGCGTATGTAAAATTGACAATTAATGTCAATCTGTTACCATATATATTGTAATACTTGTTTTAAATTTTTAACTGGTGGCACGATGAAATCAATATATGAAGTTTATAATATGTTATAGGCTTATTTCATAACAAAGTTATAGATGGCTTGTTTCAATTTAATTCCATGAATACGCACTGTCTTCTTCCATATTTCTCCCTTGGGAAAGTGAATGGAAGTTCTCTTGCACATTGAAAATTTTCATGTTTCAAAGTGACTTGAGCTAGACCCACCTAATTTCATGATATGCAATGATACTATGTCATGCTTATTGAAAGAGGATATTTACATGATCCTTAGGGATGGCAACTTCTTTCGACCAGTAGGGTTTTCATCCAGTCCCGTTCTTAATGCGGTGGATTTGGTAGGTCTCTAAATGGGGTTGGGACTGATATGATAAAATAGTTGAAAACCCGAAGCAGATTTGGGGCGGGGAAGATTTACTGGTAAACCCGCCCCACCCTTGTCCCGATTATATATGTATCTTTAAATATTTTATTAATATATAAAATATATATTTAATATTTTTAAAACCTTGTTACTTTAAATATATATGTACCTTTAAATATTTTAGTAATTTAAAAGTTGGGTCAACTTATTTATCAACCTAATTTGAGTATATTGGACTAGTTTTATTTTACTAAATAATAAAAGTGGCATAATCCGTCCCGCAATCAAAAGGAATAGGTGGGGAGGAATCGATACTTTGTCTGCCGAAGTAGGAATGGGTATAGTATACCAATTACAAACCTGTTTCGAAGTAGGAGGAGCGTTGGTATGATAAATTTTTTAACGGGGTGAAGTAGGGTTTAGTTAAATCCGCCTCGTTGCCATCCCTAGGTTGACTGGATTAAACCATATTTATGTGACAGAAGAAAGCTAAAGAGCACAGTGGACTTGCTGTGGCAAGGAAAGTATGCTTCCAAAGTTGCAGTACAGATGCCACCGATGAAAGAAGTTGTGGAAAGACTGGAATGGATCGAAGCTGTCAATGAAAGGCCAAGGAGCTTAGAATTAATACACATCGTACAGCTTATCAACATGGCCAACAGCCTTTATATCATTGTTCTCCACTTTAAAAAGTTATATTTTTTTATTTTATTTTTCCTTTTAAATTGCCACCCCAGCCCTCTCCTTTGTCAAAATTAAAACAATGTCCTTTGTAGGTTTGTTTCAACTAAGATCAAGGCATGTTAAAGTTGATACAGTGCCATTTTTATGTGTCTTTCAACTATCGGGAGGACGTGAAAGATGAAGATTGTGTTTAAGTTTGTGGTTATAAAAATATTACCAACCAAATTAGATTCTATCTGTAAAACAAAAAGAACATATAAAGAAGCAGGGTCTTTTAACTCACCAACCAACTCGCGCGACATTTACTCACAAAAAAATATTATGGTTAATAAGTTGAGTCTAACACATATAAAGCCACTCAGTCTTTTGACATGTTTGCATCTTTCCTAGAGGAACCTTAGGTTTGTAAACCACTCACCTGTTGGCATATTTCAGCTTGCTGTGGGATATATATTTTAATTGGCTAACTTTGATGTCAAAACAAGTTCGATCGAGTTGTATTTTTAAGTTTAAAATTCAAGTTCAAGTTTGGTTGCGAAAGAGTTGTCCATATTTGATTACTTGAAGTTTCGAAATAGGTAAGAATAACACTTTAGGAAATTGGGTTAAAAAGTTAAAGATACTTTTAAAACAATAAAAATTTTCATGGACTTGACATGCAAGAAATTGGGTATTGTGGGACATGGAAAATGGAAATATGGGGTGACCGAGCCCTAAGAATTGACTTCTTGTCAAATCCGCTCTCGTCTGTAGCTCCTCAGGTCAAGGCAGCGGTAGCACCAGGTCTCTTTGCAAGAACCGAAGGAAGAAGAATATAAGCAACGGAATGGAATGCGTAGAGAGAGAAGTGCTGCTGCGCGGGTTGCGTGTGCGCAGAAGAAGATGAAGAGAGAGAAAGCATGAAAGTATGGAGAGACCCAACCACCCAAAACGGGTCTGTGAAGTAGAAGAAGATGATGATTGATCTTGGTCTGTGCTTTCAGTAGTGTTCGAGAGAAGAGAGAGAAGGGTGGACAGACAATGCGTTTGAATCTTGTCTAGTGCTTGTATTCCTAAATTAGGTTACATAATATGTATTGCATCGATATAATATATATATATATATATATAAAGAAAGTGGAGTCAGTGGACAATTCACAAAGCAGATCTTGCTTTCTGGGCAGTTCGTTTCATACGTCCAGGTCAGGCGGTGTTCGTTATTGCTGTTGTAGGAAAATTTAGATTATTCACAAAGCAGTTCGTTTCAATCTCCAAGTCAGTGTGATTCTTGCAACAGCAAATATATAAATCAAACCTAAAACCCATCTCCAAACTTCACTTCGCATGCCTTTCAAACCCAATTTTGAATCAATCTTGCTCTAAATATATCCGAAAACAAGGACTTCAATTCTAACACACCCACATAGTAGAATCTTTTCCTCACCATATACGTTCATGTTTTGCAATTACCTAACATCGGAATAGCATTGGGCAAAAAAACGTTTGAAGCCTGCAATATAATCAAAGAACAAATAATGCCACACCAATGAATATTATTATATTACCAAACAAAATGAGTGAACAAGGTCAACCCACTAATTCGAAATGATATATATAAGGTTTTTTTTTTTTTTTTTTTTTTTTTTTGATAAGTAGATAAAATGATCATTTTACGTTGCCTGTATTTATAGTTATTAATTTATTTAACTGAAGTGAGTGTATTATCGTTCATTTTATACGACACAGGGACCAATTTGCACCAAATTGATAGTATAAGAAGATTTTTATCATACATGGACCGTTTTACACTGTACCGATAATAAGGAGGAATTTTTTACACCTAACCCAATAAATAAATAATAACTTGGATTCTTGTGACAACCTGAGATCAGGTACCTTGCTGAAAAGAATATATATATATAGAGAACAACCTGGGGTCAAGTGCCTGTTGTATAATTCCAAGTTTCGTGTACTAATGAAAACTGGTTTGTGCATACTTCTGGATGGCCATCAAGATTGTGCGACCATTGACATGTCATTAATTGTTAATTGAAGTACCAGACTTAGTGTAGAAGACAGTAGAAGAGAAATGAAGACTTGGATCCCGTACATGTCAGATTCAGAATGACTTAATTATATTATTTAATTTCTTCTCGTGGTTGCGGCTCCTGCATTTGTTAATGCTATCGAGTCTTTTAAATTTCTGACATTGATGTTATCATGTTACCATTAGGATGCATCATAATACAACTTGCAAGTTCAAACTGATTGGTACCATTAACTGTGGGAGACTGCCACAAGATGAGATGTTAATGGTCCATGGAATTAATTTTGCTGATTGGGATTGTTAAAACCTCAAGTTAGGGTGGTGGGTACGTGTTCTTGCATTCTATTTGCATGTGTGCAGATACATCAATAAGAGATACACTTCTTTAAAAGGTTCCTTGCTAATTATATATATGTGGAGGTAGGGCATTTCAAGTGAGGGGGCATGTTGCCAAAAAAAAAAAAAAAAATACGGAGTATATATATATATATATATAATATAATTAATAACTATAAAATTCAAAAAACAATGAAGAAGAAAATTATTCAAATATGCATGTTAAAAAGAAGAATTTTTAGAGTAGAAATAGAAAAAGAAAATGGAAAGAAAAATGAGAGAATTTAAAAGGAAAAAGTTAAAAAGTTTCAATTGAGGAATGAAAATTTGACTTTTTCTATTGAGAAAATTTAAGAGTAAAAGAGAAAATAAAGAAAAATAAATATATAATTTTAGGAACTACAAAATTGAGGAGGGGGGACTGTATAATTTTTTTCATATATATGGAAACAATTTAAAAAAATACCATATATATTATAGGCTGCGGGCAAAGTCAGGGGGGCACGTGCCTCCCCTAGGCCTTTATTGGCTCCGTCCCTGTGTGGAGGAGGATTTTGGTTTTTAATATACTTCACCTAATATTGATGGAGGTTATGTATTTAAATTGAGTGGAATAGAAACATGGAATTATACCCGATTCTAAAATATTAGAAAAATGCTTAGTTGTTGTTATTGTTGTACCTCATATTGATTTATTTTCTCATTTTTCGAGAATGTTCTATTAAGAATTTTTCTGAAAAGAAAACGCAACAAAGCAATATTTTCTTGAAAGAGAATTATTTAGGGAGATGAGAAACTAGATTACTTTAAGGCCATGCATTCAAATAGCTTGTCCATATATATGTTCGACGGTGGTGGTGTCGAATTTCTCAAAGCACCTCATAATTTACTATTTTGTCTCACATGCACTGAGTTGAGTAATTACTTAAAAAATATGTGAGAGTGGATTCCGTATCTTACAGTTTAAGATCATGCAATACGTCCCAACATAATGTTGAATCGTGTTTGTTAATAATGTTGGCTAATGGGGCTAGTGGTTTTGAGACACCTATTTTTGTTGTTGCTGATACAAATCAAAATGCTTGCCAAGTTGATGCAGACGGAGCTGGTCCTTCAGTTCTGAACTGCCTAGTTGTAATTTGGGTCCAATCAAGCTCTAGGAGGCCATAGGAACTACTAGTCTAGCATCAGAAATGTGAAGGCTTGTTCCGAGCACGATTACTAGGATTCAGAAGGGGGAGGTGAAAGAGCATAGTGACCAACGGCAGTAATCTAATAGTATTTTTTCACATTTTAAAGTAAAAATATGAAGGTTCAATTCGACTTGGAGGTGAAGTGGGTGTGTGAGAAGGGATAATAACGAGAAGCATAGTGGGGAGAAGAAGACAGTAACGGTTTTGGGGCACAAGTGCAGCGCATGTTTAAGGGCTTTTCAGGTGGACAGGCAAGCGGAGGACATGAGAGGTGCGATCCATAATCATTTTCGGGTAAATGAAAAATTAGAATTTAAAGAGGTGAAAAGTGGGCTGGCTATCCCCAAAGATTGTTAAGAAATTAAAGTGTCTGTATATGCTAAGAATGGATTTGGGTTTGGGCCCACTTTTGTGCAAGGCAGAGAACCAGACTAGTTGGGTTCAACCCAAACCCATTACTCCACAAATTGGGTTCGAGTTTGGGCTCCACAAAAGTGCCACCATGCATATATAGTGTGGTTTTCTTGAACAATAAGCCTGGCTTACAAATAGATTTTACACACAACTAGAAAAATGGACATACAATTTAAACAAATTGCATTTAACTTGCCCGAAAGAAAAAAATTATCTACATGTCCTTAAGAACCTGGATTGTAATGCGAAATTTTACTAGGAGACTAGTAGTGAAACTAACTCGTACATTCTATTGGGCTTCATTTGGATGGAAGGATTTCAAAATGATGATATAGGTTCAAAGTATCTTATGCTTTTTTACTAGGAGACTAGTAGTGAAACTAACTCGTACATTCTATTGGGCTTCATTTGGATGGAAGGATTTCAAAATGATGATATAGGTTCAAAGTATCTTATGCTTGCTTCTCAAAAAAATATAAAAATAAATAAATAATAAAAAAAAATTATTTGCACCACTGCTAACGGAGTGAAGTCTCTCTCTCAAGATTTTAAAGGTCCTTTGATCAAGCATTATTAATGTTAACATTAATATTTATCATTTGCAAATAGAAAAATGGTTTGATTGTGAAACCAAAACTATTTCCCAAACGACCTCCAAATAAGTATCCGCTATTTTGCTCCAAGTGAGTGGCGGCAACAAGTCACCTTTCCGTGCTTCAGTGCCAATTCGGCTCGGCCTGTTTCCCGACGGGCTGGCAGACCCCATTGAAGGAAACTCTAATATATTTTCCCTCTTGCAAGCCCGATATATTGAGGCCCCACGACTCTTTTGCTTCCTCAGTGAATCTAATCAAGACCCAAAAAAAAGATTGTATAAATATATACATTAATGGGTAAAAATCAAGAACTAAGACAAAGATATATGTATATATATATATAGGCCTTCATACCTCCATCACCATGACGAGGATGTTGAGGTGGGCTAGGCTGTTGCAGGGTAGAGCTAGCCTTCTTGTGTAGTCATTAGTCGATGGTTTTTGAGATTGCATAGAATGATAATTTGGATGTTGTGTTCCACAAGAGCTCTGATGTGGATGGATAGTTAAGGAGTGTAATAAGGGCTGTCTAAATACCTTTTTAGTATGCCTCATGGTACCTAAAAATTTCAACAGAAACATTTTTACTTCATACTATGAAATGAACATTATAAAATGTACTAATAATAACAGTAAAAATAGTAATAAGATAATAATATAAGTAATCCTGCAGAAATAGCACCACCAAGGACCTGCTTATACGTTCCTGCTTTTTATGCCATATCATTCAAAACATGAATTTTGACTTTAAAAGGCATATGAGGGTGTCTTCAAGCATGATAAATTTTTTGAAAGGAACTTCAGCTTATTTAGTCCCCTAAAGAGCAAATAAAAACAACCCTTTAGCAGAAGCAAATAGGCAGACAGATTAATCCCTCTAGTTCCTTTTTCGTTTCCCCTTTTTTTTTTTTTTTTTTTTTTTTTTTTTTGTGCTCTAAACATGCAAGTACCTATAATCATACATTGAGTTGAGCAGACTCTCAAACAAACATAAGCTGAAGTTCCTTTCAAAAAATGGAAACGAAATTAAAAAATAGCCATGCCTAGGTATATGAAGATACCAATCCTATGTTGCATACAACAATAACGACATTGTAAATGGGAGCTGTTGAACGGAAGGATAATGAAGCCATACATACAAGTTACAAACGACACCTTACTGAGGATATGAAAATCCATTTGGTACTCTTGTATGTCAAATTAGTGGCCACATCTGATTTAATCAGGTGTTAGATTTTTATTGTTTTAATGGTTTGCATTTAGTTGGAGGACTATCTTACATGAAAATTAATGGGCATCTCCTGCTTCACTAAGACAATGCCAGTGCTTCACAAAAATGTCTGCCAATATTTTGTTAGCAATCAGAAATTGGTACAAGAAAATATAAAGAAGTCTCCACAAACAAGGGCAGAGTCAGGATATTAATTCAGAGGGGGCGCAGTGTTAAAAAAATATATATTATAATTGAAATAAGAAGAAAAAAAAATACTATATACATCAATCTTAAGTGCAAAAAGAGAATGTTAAGAAGTAGGGGGCCAAAAAAAATTAATAAGAAGAGAAGAAAAATGAGAAATTTGAAAGGAAAAAAAATTAGTGTGAGTAATGAAGGAAAATCAAAGGAATATTAAGAGCAAAAGAAAAAGGAAATAAAAATTTAAAAGACAATTTTAGAAATTTAAAATTTTAGGGGGGGCATTATATAGAAATTTCCTTATATACAAATTAAAATAAAAATCACTATATTTTATAGTGAGCGGGCTAGGCCAGGAGGGGCATGTGCCTCCTCTGGGCACACCGGCTCCGCCCCCTGTCCACACAGTACTGGTTATGCCTACGTGGATACTACAAGAAAAAAAAAATTCTTTCAGAAAGAGCACATTTAATTCAACCAATCTATTCCAAATTTGAGAGATTCATGTCTGCTAAAAATGAAGGACACAGAACATGCACACATAATATGTGTTCGTGATAAGATAGAAACTAATATGTAAGAAAATTTGTTCTGTTAGTGAAAGGCTTGAACTAAGAAAAAGAAAATTAGCTCAATAGATCAAACCAAACTGTTCTAAATTTTTTCTATTAATGTAAGACTTGAACTAAAGAAAAAGAAATCAAACCAAATGAGGTTACAGATGATACATTTGAGTCTAAAGCCAACTATTGGCTCAAAACAAGGACACAATGTATGTGTTTGGCTCACAAAAAGTGGTCCCTTCCGGTCGAGTGGAAGGGTTGCGGGTGTGCCGGGAACTGCTGTCGTTCCAAAGGGGAGCTCCAAACAATATTCCAATGGAAAGTTGTCAAGATCAGGCGATTGAGTAGCTTGGAATGACCACTTTCAGGGGTTTTTTTTGCCTTCAAAAATGACTTTTGGATAATTCTAGTGCTAGTGGAAAGAAGAACGAAATTGAAAGTGCATGACTTGCAATTAAAAGAGCTAGGAACTACTTGCTGGAAAGTAGGAAAAGAAAGTACTGGACTTGTATTAAAAATAGTTGAAATACATTACTAGAATGTAAAGATGCATGAGATTGAAATGATAAAAGCAAAGTGATGTGTTGTTTTGTGCGTTGAACAGGGTTTGCATGCTAGGCCTAAGTGCTCTATTTATAGAACTCTTCTTGGAGCAGTTGGAGATGGCAGTTGCAGCAACAATTAGAGATGCTTCCAAATGGAACGTCCGGATTGTGCCACGTGTCCATGTCTTCCCCAGCTTTCTCATAGTGTTGACGTGTAAAATCATATTCCCATGATCTACAACTTATGAAGAGTGGTCTTGGTGGTTGAATGCATGTTTGCAAGCCTTTATTCACATTTTGGGACTGCCAGGTGGAAAGGACGGTTCTGGCAATAGTTGGAAACTTCAACCTGTAAGGTTCGGATCGTGCCACGTGTCCTATGTTTTCCTCGGCTTTTTTTATGGTAAATGCTTCATGTTCTTAGCCCACTTGCTGATTTTTAGCAACCTCCTCACCTAAATAAGGCAAGTGGCTACCTTCTAAAGTTGACACATCACTTGGTAGAGTTGATATAGTCAACTTTGATACAAAACTTTCCTTGTATGGCAGCCACTTACATCATTTTTGCAAGGATTATGCCACATATAGCTCCTTTTAATTTGAAAACTGAATCCCACGTTCTAATTTTATGCACGACACCAATATTTTAGTAACTTCTGTTAGAATATCTGTATTATTATTTTTTTTATTTTTATTAGCTGTTTTCAGCCTTTTATTAGGTGTTTTATGTAAGATCTCTATTATCATGAGATCACGTAGATAAGATCCCCGTAATCATGAGATCACGTAGATAAGATCCCCGTAATCATGGGATCACGTAGATAAAATCCCTATAATCATGGGATCACGTAGATTTTGGCATATTTCCTGTTTTTCTTTGATTTGGTTTCCTTTCTTTGTACCATATTCTTGTATATAAATATAGCTCTTGGCTCTCGATTTGTGTATGCCAAAACCCAAAATTTCTTCTTTTTGGTATTAGAGCAAAACAAGCTAGAAGGACGATTGCGAGAAAATTTCTGCTTTGGCTCGGGATGAAGCTTAAAGCAACGATCCTTTACATGACCTGTGGCTCAATAATGTTGACAAATAACATTTCCCTCTGAAAGTCTAGAATTAGCAGCAAGAGTCATCTGATAAACTAGAGTCTCTGGTAAAGCTACTGGCTGAGAGATCTGACGTCTATGCTCCTCATGGTCAATAGTAGCGAAGGCATCATACAAATCAGGCATAGGAGAGGTGTTTATGATCTAAGTTCTAAGAGCATAATACTCATATTGTAAACCCATCAAAAACTGGTAGGTATGTTGGCGGTCCAGTCTCTTGACCAAAAGAGTTGTAGCTTCTTCAGAGAAATCGGAGAGAGGTTCACTCAATTCCTCCAAATGATCAAAACTCAATATAAAACTGTTGTTCAGAATATTCGATCTGACAATGGTCGTGAATATGCTTCCAATGAGTTTCAGTCTCAACTTAACCAACAAGGTATTCTTCATCAACTTACTTGTCCATATACCTGATAAGCGCCGAATATTGCATATTCAAGCACCCTTAATTGCATTGTTTAGTCTATCTAGCGTGTTAATAAAGTATGTTTTATACAGTTTAATGTTTAATTGTCATTTTTAGGGCTTATCGCTAACATGGTGTAAAAACGGTAAATTAATGGCTTTTAATGGACAAGGAAATCGACGAGCTACGGAACCCGAAAAATGAACTTAGAGCCTAAAGATTGTACTCAGCCTGAGAATGAAGCCAGACCCAGGAAGCTGAGCAAGAAAGAGAAGTCAAGACTTGAAGGATTCAGCCTTGCGTCCGGACGCACTCTCCTAGTGCAAATCCTGCGTCCGGACGCCCCTCACAATCATGTTCATCAAATTAAGGATTGAAGAAATTAAAATTCCAATAGCCTCGCGAATTTGCGTCCGGACGCCCGATGCCACAGCCCTGCGAAGTCGATGCCTTGCGCGTGCGCCAAAGGAAGCCTGGACACCCGCGTCCGAACACACTTCGTGGCGTCCGGACGCAAGTCCCCAGATTCGAATTTTAAAAGAAATTTCAGTTACTTTTCCCTCTCATCCTCTTTTGAATGCACGAGTTTAATGGTTTTTTTAACTGATTCCGCTACAAAGGAATTTTATACACTTGTATAGGAGGATATCATAACATATATAATATCATATAGGAGATTTTGAGAGTTCTAGAGAGAGAAAGTAAGAAATAGCTAGGATTCTTGAGTGTTCTTGGTTTGGGGATGCCATGGAGTCGAAGATGGAGTCTTCCTCTTCAACCATCGGGGTTCCTACCCCCATCAGGATGAGCTAAATCCCCTTCTAAGGGATTGAGGTAGCTTTGATTAAGTAATTATGTAGTCTTTTTATAATGTAATTTGGGGAAAACTCTTGTGTGTGATGAGTTTCATGAATAAAGATGAATGATGTATTATTCAATTTGTGTTTTGTTTACATTTAAATTGATATACAATCTGGGCAGAATATACATATATAGGTATATATACCATGTAATTCTTGTCTTAGAAAGCATGATTATATATTTATACACTTAATATGTGACAATGAGAATTTATATTCATGAAATGGGTTTATTGGCATGATTTATATAGACTATGCCAAGGGAAGACGGGCTGTACTACAACCTTAGTGTAGTTAGGTAGACGATCCGTGCCAACCAAAGATAGTCTATACCAAAGGATTTATTTCATTTGCTAAAACTTGTAATGTTTGATAGGCCATGCCTAGGGAAGATGGCTCATACCACACCCTAGTTTAGGTGGATGAGCCATGCCAACAGCAGATGGGTTATGCTTAGTGTTAAATTACATGATTTTCTGGACAATTGTCGTACTTATTTTATATTTCTACACTTTTCACATCACACGTAATTGTATTCCCCAAGTTACTTACAAGTATGCATGATTACGAGGTCTTGGTGAACTCAATTCCCTAGCCTCCCTTTTATTATTCTTTAAATTCAATTTAGTTTGTTTTAATTTTATGCAAACGACAAACGACAAACGA